AAGTGGGAGAACTTGCACAATTGGTGGCTGACTAAATACTTTTTTGCCCCACTGTATCTAAGTTTGTGTGGCAAGGGAAAAAAAGCCACGAATTAAATATAAGATGTTACAAGTTGCAAAGGAAAGAGGTGGATTGGGTTTACCTGATTGGAAATTGTATTTTGCAGCCTGTTGTTTGTTTTGAATGAAAGAGGGGTGTTGCTGAGAAATAGAAGACTTTTAAAGTTAGAAGGACATGGTCTGAGATTGGCATGGATATTTGTGGTACAATAAAGTCAAGGTCAATGTAGATTTCAAAAATAATTGTTAGATGTCTCATACTGAGCATATGGAATAGATACAAATCCAGGCTGTGCCAGAAAACACCTTTGTGGCTCTCAGCACAAGAAGCATTCTATAGATGAGAAATAATAGGCAAACACAAATGGTTAACATATCATGAGATACTAGAATTATGTCAAGGAGAACACAAAATAAAATCAAGAGAACAACTGATGGCAGAAGGGCACAGTTGTCAATGGCTTTCTTATTTATAGTTATCAGAAAGAAACAGAATTGTATACAAACTTTTACTGAAATTTGAAACAGAAAAAGAACAAGTTAAGGAATGTATGAACCGTTTCTTGAAAACTTATTCTTTTTTCACTTTTGCAAAAGAAATTCTTCAATTAAAATAGTAACTTTATTGAAAATGTACTTACCAGATTTTAGTACTGCATGGATTTAGCATATAGAGGTCCATATTTTCCATTAATATTGCTGATGTACTCTATCACAAATGAGAACATAATTCATTAGCGGAAACTGTTTAGAAGACAGTTAAGTATTTTTTGGCTTTTTGGTAGAATATTTGCATCATTACACATATATACACAGATACACATTAATGGCAGAATTACAAAAGACTGCACAATTTTATGTTTTATTCCAACATAAGATCATGTCTAAAAGTTGTTTAAGCTGGCATATACAGGATACCTTTTTGGCCTGTACTACCACCACTCAATGAACCTGATGCTGCTCTTTACCTCTTTAAAGTCTTTCTCAAGAGAGCAGAGGACAGGCTGACTTACTCCATAAGCAGCAATGGAAACCTCTTACAATGCTGAAGGGAAATTGAACTTATTCCTACCATAAATCTCAAATTTGATTGCAGCTAAATACATTTATTAAAAACAAATGAATCCACATGAAGCAGTTTTCTAAAAATATAAACTACAGTGTTCTTAGGTGTTGTTGTTACCTTTGCTTCTGGGTTAGCTGCCAGTATTTTGGCACCACACTCAACTGAAGCGTAATTATTCCTATTTTTTTGGACTTTTTTGGTAAGATGTTGACCTCCATTGGAAGAGGGATGCATTGACTGACCTGCATACCAGACAAAACGTACCAAAGAATTAATAAGAAACATTTTAAATCTATTATTACCAAGCTCTGAAGCTAAAGCAATTCATAACAATAACTAATATTCTTTGGTACTAACAGCTTATCAATAGTAATTCCTATACCACACTATCTACTACTTGTAATTATTTTGAACTCTCTTTAATTTTAACTACAACATGTTAATACCGTATAAGTTCTAAGAGGTATAACATGAAGAGATGCTACTATATAAAAAGATTTGTAAAATCTCCCATGCTATTTAAAGCTAATATACTGCCTAAAGATATTGCAATAAAGGGCAGTCATGAAATATGAGTAACAGAGTATCCTACCAGCAGTTTACAAAACTCTGAAGACACAGGAGATAAAAGCTGTTCCCAAAAGCCCTGCTTTCTACAAGTACTATAATATTCATGTTCTTGGTAGACACATTTTTCCTTTAAAAGTTTAAGTACATCACAGTTCATTACAGGTAGTCCTCAACTTACAACCATTCGTTTAATGACCGTTCAAAGTTACGATGACACTGAAAAAAGTGACTTACAACCAGTCCTCGCATTTACGACCATTGCAGTGTCCCCACGGTCACATGATTAAAATTGGGCCACTTGGCAACTGGCATGTATTTATGATGGTTGCAACGTTTCAGAGTCACAACTGTCATTTGCAACCTTCCCAGGGGGCTTCCAACAAGCAAAGTCAGCGGGGTGAAGCCAGATTCATTTAATGACAGCGTGATTCACTCAATGATTATGGTGATTCGCTTAACCACAGCAAAAAAGGCCATAAAATCGGACATGATTCACTTAACAACCGCATCGCTTAGCAATGGAAGTTCTGGTCCCAATTGTTGTTGTAAGTCAAGGACTACCTGTACTTTGTAGAAGCCTGCTTTTAAGGAATGTATCTGCTGCTCTTATGTTTTATTGTACTGAATTTATTTATTCATCACTCAGAAATGATGGCAATAAATCTTTGTAAAATAAATCAATAATATTCAAGAGGTGGAGGGTATCATCAGGCCTGAAAAAGTTACTGATACCTCACTATTATTTATTTGAATATCTTTTCTTTATCCTGCCATTCCACAGAGTCATCAGGCCAGGATCAGATTATGTCCTGGTTACCACTTAATTTTCTCTAGCTGTGTTAGTTTCATATTTGAAAGTATGTTTACATTAATAGAGTGTTCAGAAATGCAAATACAAGGTAAATTTAACCTACTATTACTGCCAGGTTATACAGTCTTTTTCATTACCTCTTTTTGCAATGTAGTGAGACCAAACTGAAATTGTGGTCAAAGAAATAAAAAGCATTTATGGTACACTGAATTATTAGAGATCCATAGCAAACAACATGTCTCTTATAAATCAAATCCTTCTCTACACCTTCTACATGCTCCTTCAACAGGAGAAATTTCACAAAGGTCTTGATGGAATCATAAAACACAAGTCCTTATAGATGAGCTCAAGACCTCTGGTTATGCAGTAATGAAAACTAAACTGAGAGAGGAAACCAAGTTGGTTTTCCCACAAGTCTAGCTGAAATACATTACTTTAGCAAAGGCAAACTGAAAGTTTAGCAGTTCTCAGAGGTACTTAATATTTGAATTACATATAGTGCACCATGTTTTACAGCAGTCAAAATAACATGTGAAAGAACTTACCATTTAAAATTCAATACAAAGGAAACTGGAAAGAGAAACAGACATAGCAATAGACAGGGCAAAAATATGCAATTAACTGATATCAGCTTAGGTTTAATTTGAAGGAAGAGAGGTACCTTCCAAGGGATGTGGAAGGCAGAAAAAGTACATCAGTACTTTTTCTGCCTTCCACATCACAGTTCAGATAGCCTACAGATAGGCTATGGCTGAAAGTAGGGAGCAAATTCTTGGCCAGGGATATATCAGAATATAAGCAAGCACAGCGATTGAAGGAAGGCTGCCTTATCTTTAGAATCAGAAAGAAGTGAATGATTTTAGTAGCAAAAATATTAAATCAGAAGAAAAGCTGCCAAATTAGAACTGCAGGAACAACTGCTGTAGTTTAGGAAGAAATTACTAGGGTATGCAATGAAGTCTGCTAAAGGCAGTGAAGAGAAGGACCATATTTGCACAGAGGAAAAACAGTTGGCAACTGCTATAAATGGAATAGCAACATGAGTTGCTAATAGACTGAATGTACAGAATACAGGTAGTCCTCATCTAGTGACAATAATTGGGACCAGCAACTCAGTCGTTAAGCAAAGCAGTCACTAAGTGAAACTGCAACTGTGCTTATGATCTTATTTCAGCTTTCCTTTGGTTTACAGACTTGTGAAGGCTGTAAATGTAAGGATTTGTCATAAAGTTACTTTTTCATCAGCATCATAACTGTGAATGGTCGCTAAACAAGGCAGTCGCTAAACATGGACTATCTGTAGAGGAAATTATATTTTACTGTTATTTCTTCTATTCCATACATTCAATCTATTTGCAACTCATTGCTATTTACAACACTTGCAAAATTAAGCACCTATTCAACAAGCTGTGTATGTAACATTATCAACAATCATCAAAATATATGAGAGAGTGAAAAGATGAAGAGTTCAGTCAAAGGCATTTAGGGCAATGATGAAGCACTCATGTAGAAATATCAGAGGAAGAGGACTGCCAAGTAACGGAAAGTCCTTGGCAGAGACATAAAATGAAGAGGAAGCAGTAGGCTTCTCTTGGCACACTGAACTAGAAACAAGCACAGGCATTCACAGAACACAGAATCACAGGGTTGGAAGGGACTTTGGACAGGAATTCCCATATCATCCAGATAAATGGCTGTCCACCTTTGCTGTTCCACTACTTAATAGTTCCCACAGTGAAGAAGTTCCTCTTTATTTTAAATTTAGATCCCTCTCTGTAAAGCTCAAGCCATTGGTTCTTGTCTTACACTCAGGCACTAAGGAGAATAAATCCACAACCCCTTCACTGTGACTGTCCTTCAAATACCGGAAGACTGCTATCATACCTTCCTTTAGCCTTTACTTCTTCAAGCTAAACATACTCAGTTCTTTTAACTGTTCTTCACAGAATTTAGCCTCCAAATCCCTCACAATCTTTGTTGTTCTTCTCTATGCTATTTCCAGTTCTATCTCTTCCTATGATCTCAACATTGTTGATGCAGACCAATGCTGGTTTATGCTTAATCTGTGGTCTAAAAGGACATCCAGGTCCTTCTCGCATGTGCTACAGCTGAGCCACATATCACTTGACATATAACTATCTGATTTTTCTGGAGTGCAGAATCCTGCATTTCTTGCCACTGAGCTGTATTTTGTTGGAAAAGGCCTAATCCAAGTCTCTCAAGATCCTTTTGAACCTTGAGAGCCTGACTTCTGATTTGTTCAGCAATCCCTCCTAGCTTTGTGTCATCTATAAATCTGCTGAGCATCTCTTCAATCTCCTCATTCAAGGATACAAAAGCTTTGATAAACAGGTTTATTAAAGAAAAGTTAATTAAATTGCTATGAATTCCAGTAACTGGTATGTATCAAATGTAAGCCCTATTTATAATAAAATTGTTTAAATTCTTGTGCCTTTTTCTCCTACCCATGTGGTATATTGGATTTGAATCTACTCTCTCTTGGGGAAAAGGGAAAGTTTCCATATATCTCTTCTTTTAGTAACATGCTAGACTTGTTTCAAGCTTTTTGCTTCTGAATTTTTGAGAACTGGCTTTCACAGCCAATGTAGAAGTACCACTGATGTTCAGTGGGTCTGGTCAGGGACATTGCATGGATAGAAATCTGGACAGACTGAAGAACACTAGCAATGAAAGAGACAGTCCTATTAGTAATGAATGAAGACTTGATGAAAATAGTAAGAGAACCACTTCAAGACCCATCAGAAAAACCTAAAGCACAATGGGAATCAAGCAGGAGAAAGTGATCAGTTGTAATTAAAGGCAAGAGAGAACTTAGGGTAAATGAAAACTAACAAGGGATAACAGGTAGCCCTCGCTTACCAATGGTAATTGGGACTGGGAACTCCATCACTAAGCGATGTGGTTGTAAGATGTGACATCACATGACTACACTGACTTATGATGGCAGTTCTGGCAGTCCCAGTTGCCATTGTTAGGCAAATCCTATGTGGTTGCAGCATCCCATGGTCATGTGATCATCATTTGCAACCTCCTGCCAACTTCCCCACTGACTTTGCTTGTTGGAAACCAGCAGTGAAGGTTGCAAATGGTGATCATGTGACCGCAGGATGCTGCGATGTTGTAATTGTGACCCAGTTGCCGAATGCCCGAATCGCGATCACGAGATGCTGTGATGGCTACAACTATGATGACCAGTTTTAAGTATCCCTCGTTCAGCGCCATCATAACTTCCAATGATCACTGAACAAGCACATTAAGCGAGGACTACTTGTATTAGTAACGAGCTGTTCAATTTTGATAAGGGCACTTACACTATACAGAGTAAAGAGATTAATTACAAATAGAAAAAATGGAGACAACAGCCTCACTGATTTGAAGGAAAATAGGTCAGTAGATAGAAAAGGATGAGTCAAAAGATTTTATTTTGTCAAAACAGAGTAGCTTCAAATGGACACATCTGAGACAATGCATTCAACCTGCTGAGCAAGACATTATATAATACTCATTATTAGCCAGTATCTAGATCATCAGAAACCAGCACTCTCTGGTAATAAGTAAAGTTTACCTATCTGCCCTGCATCTTTTGTAATGGATACAGCCTAACTGTGATGGAATGGAATTATGAAGGCCAGACTCAGGGAGAAAAACGTTTCCTTTCA